TGCGAGGAAGCGAGGTTTAATCTCGCTCAGAATAGGGTCAGATGGTCAGTTATTGTAAACGCGACAATGAACGTACGTATTAAAAAAAAAGAGGGAATATGTTGATTCCCTGAGCAGGTACTGTTCAAGAAACACTTTGCTCCAATTATCTGTGATGACTTTCAGAAAATTGTATTTCGTATCCTAAACTTCTACTGCTTACACCTCTTTACCCTATAACCGGCGAATTAATCAGGCATTATAATTATACGTACAATTAAATCTTTTTTCGCCTGACTTAACGTTTCATGATATTGCAGGCGACCGTGGTACGAACCTAAAGTATGCAGAGAATGAAGGGGGAAGGGGGGTTGACAGGAGGGGGGGGGGAGGGGGGGGTAACGTTCAGAATTTCTGCTCCAATCACATCGCAGCACCACAAGTGGCAAATTAACCGACCGGGTTATATGCGGAGGAAGTAATCGATTTCCAACCTCCGGGGTGCAAGACGGCCATGTTACCTGCGAGTGATTTCCAAACCACTGCAGTAAGGAAGATATCATATTATCTAACAGTGCAATTATTATAAAGCAGAGCTCTTGCCTTGTAAATGGGTACTTTACGTGTACATGTAATGAAGTCTGATCTAATAGACGCCCGATATGCTCGTAAATGCAATTGTTTCAGCATCTCTTGAAGCTCAGTAAAATAGGAACACGACCAAGACAATTCGGTATAACGCCAACATGATAATGATTCTTCTAATTATTTAAATACAAGTATTTTGTACTTTGACAACCAACCTGCAGAATTATTAAATTAAGTATAAATTAAAATAAGATAATGTGAAACTATTTAATAATGTAAGTACAAATATATCTGGCAATTAACATACTTAAGAAAGGATTTAAAAACAGACTTGAAAATTATACAAGCAGAACTATGCAAAATGGGTTATAGGTTTGACGCAGTATAATCTTGTTAATGATAACCGACATCTTGTAGGAACGTATCGCCTCCAAATTCAGGGTAAAGAACCATAATTACACGGCATCACAACAAATCTCAAGAAGTACAAGTCTCTTACATCAGCATATGAATTATACGATCTGAGGTGTTTACTGCCTCCATCATCAGGGATATCGCCCTGATGATTGTGACAGTGCGTATCTTTAAAGTCGATCAATTTCTACGAGATTACATGGCGCAACGTCTCAAAAATACAGTAATTTTCACTGAGCCATGAAAACCTGAAATTTCAGTTACTAATCTACTGTGCCCAGTAGACACTGAAGTAGAGGGACATCCAAAAATAAATGTGGGGAGCTTTACCGCTCAATCGTAACAGTTATCACATGCAACTTTTTTTTCAAAGCGCATCAAAAAAGTGAAAGGATTATAGAAGCTAGCAAGCAGTTCTCTGAACTACGATATCAGAAACAGAACAGCTGGTAACGCCAGGAACTCGGGTTAAATATAGAATTACTAACACAAGCGTCCGCTTCCCTTTACACCTCATGATAAAGGAATTTTGTGAGACAAATGCGAGCTAGTGCCTGATCAGGTCGAGAACCTTCACGAATAACGCGTACTTACAAAGAAATCCTTCGGGATATGAATATTTCCAATTTTGGCAAGCTCTCGTCTAACACAGGTACTCAGGGTAAAATACAATACAAAACGGCATGCCTGTGTTCTTTTAATTGCCACGTTTCAACTCCGTCGAGGCAAATCTCGAACAGAATTGCTACCCTGGGGTTTGACGTTGTGAATAAACCCTTTGTTATTCAACGATGTAGGCTTTAAAGGCAGAGATTGTACATCACCGAATAAGACGGGATTTGGAAGAAGGCGGTAGTCGTCTATTTCACGGTATTATTCCGACATGCGCCTGGAGACCCTACAAAATCACAAAATACCTCATTGAAATCACAGCCCTGCAGAAATTGGACCCGCGTTCCTGCAGAGCGTTACGGTTCCACCAACCTGCCCAGTGGTTTACGTTGAAAACCAGTAAGAGGATAGGAAAGGTTGGAAAGGAGAGATATCACGTCCAAAGGTAGAAAACGTAATTCCAGCAAAACCTATAGATAACAGATGAAGCCATCAGTCTACGTAATGTGTGCGTAAAGCAGACAAAGAAAATTATATCATCTATGTAATGCAGTGAGGGGCAAACAGTTAATCGATTCGATTGCTATGTGCTACACGTATAATAAATTTAAACAAGAAACTGCGAGAAGAATTTCTGACGTCTATTGTTTCATTCTGTAATTATCAATGGCTTCTCAACCTTTACCCTTTGTACGACTTGCGGGCAGCAAGGACAATTTATCAAAAACAGGTAATTTATTAAAAATTGTACTAAATCAATTCAACGATATGTTCTGTTTTGCTGCGTTAAAATCACGTTTAAAAGTTGTTAGCCGACTTCTGCTATCTCTGGGAACTACTGTTCTCGCCTTGAAGAAGAACGTCAACTCACGAACTAGAACGTGAGAAATCACTTGTAGGTAGCGTTAGTGTTGATGTCACCTCATATTAGCACGATAAACATTTATTGGTAGTAGCAAAATTAAAAAGCGATGTCATTCTAACGGCATGACGACGCTACCAAGTGTCATAAAAATCCATTCGAAAGTATTTTGGTTAGGACCGGAGTACAACCACGTGGAAACACTGCGATTTAATCGACATTTATTTAATCACGTGTAAATATATTTACGCCTTAATGCAAAGTGAAGATTCCGAAGAAAGCAGACCTGTTTGTACCCAACAGGAGGCTTGAGAACTCTGTAGAAACAGAAGCTTAATTTCTACTCTTCACCAAACACTGTTAAGGTGACAGAAGAAATTAAGACGAAATGGATGAGGAAAGTAACACGTATGAGAGATATATACACAAAATTTTGATATTAATACCAGAAGCGCAAAGATAATATGGGAGAACTAGACGTAGATCGGTGAGTGTTTTGAGATGAACCTTAAATAAATTTGACACGCGAGAGGGGGGAATGGATTCATTTGGTTCAGGATAGGGGCCCAGGGCGAGCTCTTGTGAACACGGAAATGAGTCTTCGGGTTTCATAAAAGACGGGGAACTTCTAGACTAAATAAACGACTATTAGGTTCTGAACGAGGAATCTAATGCATGAAGACTCAAGTAGCATCCATGTTTACACTAAATTTGCCGGATAAACAATCACTGTTATAACGAAAATCCTCAAGCCCACACGGAATCTAATCGGAAACTTTTCCAATAAAGTAGCATGCAAATATAGAAATTTCACGGTTTCCGAGAAAAAAGTAACGCAATGTAATACGCCTAACAGTGAAAGCGTTTAAGTAAATGATGGCCAGGAAGAAAGATGAATTATTCAGACTTTATTTTCAGGGCAAGGCCATTTAATAGAAGACCTAATTAGATTCTGAATAAATATTTATTCATGTGGTATGGACGGCTTCAGGTCCTGATACCTTCTGCCTGTGCCCAGAACAGGTGACGACCGGGTAAGGTAATATAGACGCTAAGCGGAACCTTGTTTTAATTCTATGGAAGTTAAATTTAAAAAGCGACCGTTAAATCTTGAAATGAATACGTTGGGTCTTTTGTTAAGCAAACGCACGCACTCCTGACTCCTTAAAGCACAATGGTAACTATATGTACCACCTGCTCTAATATACAATAAATACTCATTTTTCCAAGATAATTTATGTCTCGGTTTTGTAGTTTTCTAATAAAAAATAGAAACTGCTTTCGTAAACAACATTAACCAACTGATATTTCTAATAGAGACGCTTTGCGTTGTCTTTCAGGTAAGAACTTTGAGCTTCGAAGGGTTAAAAATGTGGGTGTGTTATTCGGCTACTTGCAGTTCTCATATGACCATTGATAACAAGAACAGAGAAATAAGTAGCGTTACTTTTCTGGCCTTTCGCTATGAGTAATGGCACTGCTACGCAAATCGCCATATTGCGACCAATATTCCCTTCGTCTTAATTTATAATTTTGTTAGCTTTAAGCTTTAAAGCGTTTCATAAAGAGTGGAATGTAACAAAATCCGTAGACAAGCTTTATCCTCTAATGGAAATTAAAATTTTAAATTTTTAAATAGCGGTGTTATTTACATTTCATGCAGACTTCAATGAAATGTTAAACCAACAAACAGGCCTATCACTGCAACAACGATTGGGTTGCGGGAAAATGTGTCAAATTTGACTCCAAATTTCCGAATGTACGAGCTTTTGCCGTTTCTTTTATAAAAAAAAAAATAATAATAAAAAACATTCTGTTAGTGAAATTTATTGGACGAAACCTGTTTACGAAGTAACTGATTCATGTCATACTACTGTTGTCAGATAGTACAGGTTTGTTTAAATGTTTTTGGGCTACTTTTTATCAACATTACCAGTAAATAAAAATTGGCTCAATGCTTAATTATTTTCAATCAAGAATGTACTTGAACTGATTAAATCAACAAATATCTATTGTGTCCCGACTTCAGTGAAACAACCTACACCCATAAAATGCAACGCAGGGCAGTAAGCACAACAAACGTCACATGGCCATATTCTTTTTAATTCAACAAGATTAATAGCAAATGAACAAAAATTACTTCCTACTGACTGCGTGTTTCGAAGCTAGGCAAGGTATTCTGATTCTGTGGGTGAGTTTGAGGGGGGGGGGGGGAATTCGCGAAGATTTTTAAACAAAAGTCCAAATTCCTTGATGGGTTGAACCGAGAACAGTACACGAATTAACTGTCGTTCCAAGAAGTTATGTTTATTGGAACTATTTGTATTTTGTCAAAAACTGCAAATGAAACTCAAATCTGTTGTCAAGTAATTACGTATTAGCGGAGTATAATACTAAAATTATTTCCGTTAGTTCCACTCATTACTGTTTTTAAAACTTGAAATTATGTGTTACCAACAAATGTTGAAATGGGCTCGTTAAATGGGCAACGACAAGACTTCACAGCTATTAACAAACAGACAAGAAATACGATATCACAGGTTACCTTATATGGAGACCATCTCATGTGGGTGAATCCTGCGTTTTGCTGCGGATGTAACAGTGAAGAAGCAGCAACAGCGGGAGCCAAGGAGTCAGACTGAGCCGACGTCGACCGTCGCCTCAGCTTCTGTGAGCTACTTCCCCTCCAGACGCCTTCTGCAGTTCTCCGCCAGCTATGAATAGATACATATAACATACAGGTACCACAGTCAGCCACTAGCTGCTAGCTGGTAATCTTGCAACCGCTTCCACTACTGGCCGAGCCAACCACTAAACATTAAAACTTCCGCTGCTAACCTTCACCAATTCCACAGTATGGCCAGTCCCTTCATACTGGTTGTAGAAATTAGCAATATTGTTGTTCACATACGCTTGCGCTCTGCTACTGGTGTCATCACGCTATGACCCTCGTACACCCTCTCTTACTTCACTTCTTTGCTTTCCTGCTGCGTTCATTTCTTTTTATTTGGAGTCTTTACAACACTCACTCCCCCTTCCCTTGACAAACCTCATCCTTCGCTGACTGGGTTTTATTGATCAGCTGCATATACATGCAAATACAGTGTGCTTCAAGATCATATGCATCTCTCGGAGCACGTTACTCTACTTTTGTCATTTATTTAACGATTCTGTATCATGTGTAGGCACTACGTACTGTCGACTGATATTTGATTATCACGTTATTTAATGACGATGTTTGTATAATTGATTATGCACCATTGAATTGTGGCAGAATAATTAAGGATGAATATGATACGTAAAACGAAAACATAGGAGCAGTGATTCGCGAGAAACAAACATTACCCTCAACTAGAAAAGATATTCCCCGTATTATATAAAACCGAAATGTTCATTACCGTGGGCACAAAAGCCCGCAACCGGTTCTTAACCTCAACCAGATTAATCAAATCCATACGCTCCAACCACATTTCCCTAAGATTCATTTTAATATCATTCTCCCATCTACATCTAGATCTTCAGAGAAGTCTCTTCCCCTCGGGCTTTACAACCAAAAGTTTTCAAGCACTTCTTATCTCATCTGTAAGTGCTACATGCTCCGTCCATCTCATACTCCTTGATTTGTTATCTTAATATTTGGCGAAGACTGCAAAGTATGGATTTCCTAATTATGTGTTCTTCTCATATCATCCCTCTTAGATAAAATGTTCTTGTAAGCAGCTCTGCTCAAACACTCTCAATCTGTGTTCTTTCCTTAATGTACCTATTATTAGTAAAGATTATACAGTGTCAAAAATTTCGACCCCAATCTTGTACGTTGGATATTTTCCCTTCCCATAACGTTCACATAGGCTTTCATATAAAAGGGGTTGAGCTAAAATTATCAGTCACCTTCAGAATTTCAAGGTAGATGGACTCCTGAACTCACCACAATTGATATCTTAGTCAGTAATTTAGGAATTACTCGAAGTTCTAACACAACGATTATACAGTGTCCAGTCAACTAGAAAAATTCCTGGCGGTTCTCATCTTGTACTATGAAATTGGGGAAAATTGACATAAACAAAATAACATAAATCATCCATATAATTTAGGTTTATGCTGTAAAAGATGTAAACGTAATGGCCAATCCACTGCGTATATCGAACGGCGACATGATACCGTGGACACAGTGTATATGCCAGTCACTTCGCAGAACGTAATACGAACGGCGCTTGCGTCCGGGCGCGGGCAATCAGACTATTGAAATGAACGCAAGTTGACGAATAGGGAATTCAGGAAACGGAACGAATTCGGAGCAACAGTGTTACGTCTAAAAACCCCACGGAGCAGAGCCTTTCTTGAGAAGCTAATAGTCGCTAAGCTAGCCAATAAATTCTTCGTCTTTTTTTGTTATCCGAAAATTCTTTACCGTGTTCACACAAGAACTTGCCAATGGTCCCCATCCTGACCCAGGTGAATCCAGCCAATATTGTTTAGGTAACATCCACTTTAATATATCCTCCCATCTCGCCAAGATCTACTAAGTGGATGTTCAATTAAGTTTTTTTAGATTTTTATTTAACTCATGAGTGCTATATGCTCCGCCCACCCCCTCTTCCTTGGTATTATCATATTAATAATATAATGTTAAAAAACAAACTACTAAGCCCTCATTGTTAAATTTTCTCTGTCCTCCCCAAAAGTTCCGAATATTATCCTCTGCACCCTGCTCTCAAACATCCCCATCTATGATCTTCGCTTTTCGTGAAAGACCAAGTTTGACACATCCAAAATAGGTAAAACAGCGTTAGTATGTATTAATGACATTAGTGCAACAATGATCTACGTAACGTAATGTGGCGTGAAGAACACAATTGGAATATCAGTGTACTCCAAACAGCATGTCTACATCTTTCCAATGCTAAGTGGGGCAGTGCCGAGTTTGGAAGCACATTAATGACTATGCCCAATGTCGACTACATCAATGTAGAACTTCACGGACAGGTTAAAACTTACCCATACAAGCGTACATTCTTATAGACTGTGAAGGTGAAGACAGGCATTTCCCAGCGGAGTCTGAGCCATATTTAGCACAATCCTTTCTGCTTCCTAGCACCATGCAGATGACTAATCACATTTCATACACACACGCTACAATAAACAGAACATGAATGTAAAATAAAAGAGTAGCTGTATAACACGAACAGTTACATCATGATAAATACTAACTACATTTCACATGTCCACATCCAAAGGCACAGCACTCAGAGAAGACAATATATTGAAAAGAATAGTTTGTCTGAAAGCTACATTTTATAAAACGCGGCAAAATGGTGTCTCACACAGGATGTACTAAACAGGCTCTTGCTGCCATCTACCAACAAAAGCATAACTGCTAAGAACAAAAGAAATGACATATTGCGGTAGCCACGTGATTTACAGGGATAAGCAAGCAGAACGAATGTGGCAGAGTGGCAAATAGCACATTATAATGTCTAAGAAAATGTTAAAATCACTTACAGACAATGTAAGTCAACGAGTGACTACATCAAGGACTCATGTATGTTTATGACCACTTCCTGATTATTGATCCTTTAATAAATAACGTTAATTACATGTACCTCCTGCTTATTACACTGATTTTTCCATGAGTTGGTCACATTATGATAAATTCTTCTGTGTCAACAAGGACAACACTATGTATTAATCCTGTGGCATTCTGTAGGTGCTTTCATTCAGTGTGTTAAATTCTGTGTACCTGTTTTGAAAAGATAATCTCTTGCAAATGCACATAAAAAATACTTTATACAATGTGGCAAAACAGATTAATATTTCTTAATGATCGACAATAGTAAACTGAATTAATATCCCAGTTTTCCCAGGTCTGATAGTAAAATTTTTATGTTTATAAACATCAGGGTGTTTGCTTTCAAATGAGTGGACAAACAGTCACTTGACCTGGTGTTTCTGTTGATTCACAGTTTCATTTACTTTACAGAGTCCTTACAATATTCGAATAAAGTCTATGAATAATAACAGACTAATACATGAGGGAGATAATGTAATTTAGTACTCAGTTATCATTACACTGTTATAGAGTGACAAAAGTTAAGAATGTAATGTTTTTACTGCTATTCATAAACTGCTGTGAATATACCAATAAGTAGATAGGTTACAAGTCTGCCAATGCAGTTCTAAGTGAAGAAAATGAAAAACTGGTTCATACTTTCTTTTTTGCTTACTTTTTTCATGCACAACAGCTTTGAATTCTCCATTTTTTTTAAGATGTGCTCACAAAATTCTTAGTCCAGTAATAAAACTTAAGGCAAGAGGATTGAGTTTCCAAATCAATGCATTCTCAAATTCAGCATATTTCATTTTCATCACTGATTGAAACACAATCACAATTAATTTCAAATATTTTCTTTATCAATTTCTTGACATTAGTACATTCCATTTTACAAAATTACTAACACTCCATTAGCAAGAACCAACAATCATCTCATAATGTCTAATACAAGTATGGATTCTTAAATTCTTCTATCAATTAATGGCACATATTTTTTTTTGCCACAACAATGACAAAATATATTTATTGTTCAGGTAAGCAGAAGGAGCAGCATTATTCCTGATAATTAGCTCTAAAAATATACCTACACATATGTAGAATATTGTCACATGGAAGAGATACCATTCCATTTTTTATTTTTAATACAGCGCTGCCCAACCTGTTTTATCTCATCAGACTACTTTATTGTACCTGTAATTGAGAAAGCTGACCATGTAAAATAGTGTAAGCTCTTTTCCTGATCAGGAATGATTGTTACAGCTATGGCATCAGGGCCTGTATGATTGTACAGCATGGAACACGTCCTCATATTAGATTTACTTTATTAATAAATACTTATGATGTATATTCATTTATAGCCAAGATGTTCAATAACAAACAGCAAAACAGAAATACATGTCCATTTTACATTAGCTGTTTCATAAAAAAAAATTATATTCCCCTTGATAACACCCATAACAAAACTGAATTCAATATGTTTTAATAAAAATAGGTTTATTTTTATGACTTTGGTAATTATTTAGTTTCAAGTGGCAGGAAAACAATAATATATTCCTACTACAGAAATAAATTTTGTTTATTTTTAATGGGAGAAAGAAATACAGGAAACAGAACACATTCAGCCAGATTATAGTGGATTTCACTATTACTGCAGGCATGTCTTCTGGTGAAATCTATTATCCCTGAGTGAAATTTGAGTGGCAACAATTTTTATTTTCATCAAAAAATCACAATTTAGGTGACCAAGTTAATTAATTTCATATATATCTGAAACAATATGCACAAGAATATCATAACTGTGCCAAAAACTGTAAACAGCAATCAAGCAAGTATCGTTTCAGAATTTGAACACAGATCGAGATGGAGAAAAGATTGGGCACCCCTGTCATATTTGGTTTACAGTGACCTTCCTATATCTAACCAGTAAAATTTACCAACCATTTTGTAATTATATACTGTTATTGTTTACAGTTCAGCTAATAGCCCTCTTTAGCCAGAAGATATCAGATCTGTGTTGGAGAAACTTATAAGAAAGTATAAATTATTACATAATTTATTTACCACTTCACTGATGCAGATGTGTACATATTACTGTTTCAGCCTCAATTTTTAGAAAATTTTCTTTCCTCTTTGCTATGTAACAATTTGAGTTTTGTCTGATGCATCTACTTATTCTCTGTAATTGTACATTTTTTTGTATCTACAATGGATGAAAACAATTTGCAGTAAACTAAGCCTGCTCGCTACTGAAAAAGGTATACCACCCTTTGTCAAACTATTTATAGAAAATATTAAGAAAAGCGTTAGGAAGAAACTTTAAATTAGACCTTTTGATGCCTTTTAATTCTATAATATTTTAATTTCAATAGGTCAATTAGTAAAACTACCTTCTAAATTATGTTTAGCCCTAAGGTTTTCTTCATAATTTATAGAGTTCTTTCTCCCATATATTCTGCAAATACATACAAAGTAAATATATTCGATTTTGTTTTACAAAATAATTGTAAGAATTATGCCTGAAAAATAATTTGATTAAAACATACACATGCTCCATTTCAGTTGAGTAAAATGCATTGAGTGTCAGGTTTGCACTTTGTTGGGTTTTAATACAGCATGTTTGTGTACACATGAATCTGTGGCTTGGGATCTTTACTATTTTGGTTTGATGATGATTAAGTACTACTACTACTACTACTACTACTACTAATACATCAGCAATCTTTGCTTCTCCTAGATATGTGCAACATAACTTGTGCTTTTTCTTGGCCCTAAACACACAGTCAAGTTGAACTACTAACAATAAAATAAATTATAAATTCTGAAATGCTGGTTAGATAAAGTAATGAGGAAATATGATGGCTTTCATTACTCAAATGAAGCAGACTTATTCACTCTCATAATATAACATCTTGAGCCTGAGTGGATGGATTTAGATACCATAGAGACACAGCTAAAACATACAAGTATTATTACTTCTGAACAAGTTTCTGTTCTTAAAATGTCAAGAGTATTATACAGTTGTCGATATCTTCTCTGTTATGATTCCATGTCGTTTTATAGATGGTTATCAATGTTTCAGAGAAATATATCATCTCTATTTTCAAAGATAAAAATATAAGTATCCAGAAGCAATACGTTCCTCCGAAACATTGGTAACCACCTCTATAAGTCAACATGACATCACAATGTAGAAGACAACTATCAAAATCTTTACTAATATGAGAACCTTAAATCTGTGTCTTTCTTCTTGTTTACTATGCCATCTCCTTTACAGGAGGTTGGCGACATATTATGAACAGGATCCTTCCATCCTTTTCTCGGACTGGGACCTGTTCATATATGTTTTTTAGGCAGGTGATACAGAAGTGGTTTGCCATTGCCTTCTTCTGTGTGTAAGGAGTAATTGTTGGGATGCCACTGAAGGAAAACTCCATGTTGCCTAGACCACGGCCTTGCCCAACACAAGTTACAAATTCAGGCACCGCTGGGAATCGAACCCGGGACCCCAGGATTACAAGGCCAGCGTTCTAACCGCTAGACCACCGTGGCGGTATCTGTGTCTTTAAATGCCTTTAAATAAGAGGACTTTATCAGTTACATGCTCAAAACCTCAAATTTCATTTCTGTTCCAAGGTCTGTTAAAGAAAAGTTAATACAAGGTTTTCTAGGATTCAGTAATTTGCTCTTATCACTTTAATTTACTCGCAACATGGCTACTTACAACAGTACCAATTCATAAATTTCATGATGGGTTTTTAACTATATAAGACACATGATCTGCATAATATCCAATACTTTTACTAATTATTTTAGTCCACCCAGGCAGATGAGAGGATAGCACCTTGAAACAGACACAAAACACGCTATTCCAAATCCTTACCAACTCACCCCTCATAATCATCTTACCATCTCGCTGAATTATACATAACCTCTTTAGGTGAGAAAACATCATAAAACAGTGTAACAACCAAGCAGAATTACTTTATAAGCTTAACTTCAGACTAGGAAGTTAACAGCCCCAGATAATTTTCAAGATAATTGTAAAAGTTCTCAGATAAAAGGTAATCTAGTATAAACAACTGAGATGAATATTCAACGTATATCAAGTAGGTACTGGACCTGGCCTACATGATTTTGTATTATAATTTTAATTTGTATGCACCACACTTTTAAATTGTACCTCAAATTTGACTTGTAAGTTATGCAGAATATGTAGAATAATGGTTATGACAGAAGGGGCAGTAGGGTAATTTGAAAATGACCTGGGGCTCATTCAATTAGGGGGTCCAACAGATAGGTTTCTGTCCTCTTTTCCCCTGTTTTACCTAAATATGGAAGCAGTATCCAGCTTCCAAAATGCAGTGATTTTATTATTTTGTAATTTATATGATGAACAAAGCTCAAGAAAACAATTTTACAGAACATTTTTGTTTTAATTAATGGCTGCCTCTAACAATAAAATTCTATGAAAATGTAACAAAATTGTTAAAAACTTAAGCTGCAATCAGATTTCCTCATTTGCTACAAGATCACTGTATTAACACTAAATTTTCATCTATGTTCTTCCATTACAAAAATACTAAATGACTTCCTACATAGAACTGGAAGCACACTGTGTTTAAAAAGCATAGTAAACATACCAACCACCTCTTACTTTTAGTTACAGATCTAAAAATAATTTTTTTGTGACTGTGTTAACTAGTGCTTGAGATGTGGTAAATATATCTAAATTTAATTTTCTTTCCTTTCATGAACTGCCAAATATTATTGTCACAATAACACAATTCCAAACAACAGTACAATGGTATCTTCATATTCTCTACACACAGATTTGCACAAAAAGGCATTGATAAACACCGTTTTAATAATTACATAAATATGTATTATTGAGGTTAATGTAATAAAATTTGCAGTCCTACGAGAAAGTAATTGACTCGCGTTTTGTATTGTCAACATTATTTTTGAACTTCCTTCTGACTTTCCAAATATCAACTACAGGGGTTGAACACATATAAAGAAAAACAAAGGAACTCTATTAGATGCTAGTAAAGAAGTTCATATAGAAGTAAATGGAGAGAAAACTAAGCCCATGTTCATGTCTATTCCCCAGACTATAGGAGGTAACTAACAACTACTTTAAAATTGTGTAATTTAAAATATTTGGAAAGGACAGTAACAATTCAAAAGTACATTAATGAGGAAATTAAGAGCAATATATGGGGAATGCTTGATACCATGGAGTTAGAGATCTTGTATTGTCATCTGCTGTCTAAAAATGTAAAGGTTAAAATACTACAAAACCATAACTGTTGTTTTGTATCTTTTATAATAAGGGAAACACACAGAGTGATAGGGAAAATGTGAAATGCACACAAAATTACAGTTAAGAAGCCTGAAAGATATCAATCACAAAACCCAGACGCAGATGGGGAAGACAATATTAACATTAATCTTAAGGAAAAAGGATGTGGACTGGACGAATCTGGCTCAGGATATGGACCAGTAGCAGGTTCATGTGAACATGGTAATGAACCTTCAGATTCGATAAAAGGCTGAAGATATGCTTAGAAACACAAATAATATTAGATTAGGTCTGGTGAAAGGTTAAAAACTGCAACACGTTCTAAGAATGCCATAGAATAATATGGAATGACATCACAGTTATACAAACAGAATATAAAACAATATATAAAAAATACAACAACTGGGTTAGATGATCTGTGATCTGAACCTGTAAACCAAACAAGTATAGACTTTGTCACTGAGGATTCTGAAAAATCAAAGAAGAAACTAATAGGACATGCAGCTAACATGAATATGGGGCATTACTAGTTGCTTGATTTTTATGGTGCCTTTTGTTCATGTATCAGTTTGTTTGGTCTGGTTTACAGAAAATAATTCTACTTATTTATCTGTCCTACTTTTATTACCTTCCAGACTTACAGCAACCTCTTGTTAACAAAAAACTTAAGTCACTTCCCAGATTTGGTACATTCTTTTGTACATACCCTTCAGACCTGTTTTAGTGCCTCTAGGTGTAAATTAGTTTTGTCGTTTGACTGAAGGCAGAGACCAAGTTAGCCTCCAAAATTTCATAAAATTTTATCACACATTTTTGTAATACTTATTTTGACAATGGACAACATCCAGCAACAATATTCTATATCTTGCAATGTACAATTTATCAAAAAAGTTCTTATGAAAGTATTTAAGTATTCTGTACTTTATTTATGAACAAAGGCAAAGAGGTTAATTTCTTGAAGGACTGCAAAGTTTATACACTCTCAAGAACCCCACCCAAATTTCTATTATATGCAAGCATTATTAAATTGACTAGCATTTGGTGGGTGAATGATATTGTCAACAATGTTCATTGCCCTTATGACTATGAAAACAAATGAAGCGACATGAACAGAATGCAACTCTATTAACACTGACATTCTGAACATAATACTTGATATGGAAGCTAAAAGCACCCATAGTTTACAACACAATGGCTCAAAACTACAGATTACTTAGGAGGCTCATACACATTTATCTGACTGCCAATTAAAATTGTGTTTCTCACTTCTGTGATGTAAGTAACATAGCCACATGTTTCTATAATTAATCATTTACCTCTGCAAATAATGCTATTATCTATCTTTTATCATCCACATCCAAACATATTGTTAAAAATCTTGAATTAAGCCTGTATAATGCTACTAAATTACTATTTCAGTTTTTAAACTATATCACTTCTTGATTTACAATTGGAAGGAATATTTCATACTCTTGTGTGAAAAATTAAAAATTTTGTCAGACTGTCAACTACTAAACTGCATATTTTAAAGATGCATATGCTAAAAGACATTTTGTATTCCTCAAAATTCCCTTCCAACAAGACAAGATGTAGCTGTTACTGAGAAGTGTCACACATATTTACAATTAGGCCTCTAGCTATTTCAAGATGCACAACAATATACTGCACATGTGGCATCAGACTGCCACAATAAAACTAGTTTTGTACATTTAGGAGAGCGTATTTGTAGTTCTATTAATCTACTACACCAAAACACAATAAACTTCATTTTATAACAATGGCAGGTGCATGAAAATTACAGCATTCTGGAAAATTTGCTAAATTTACTGAACAGCACAGAAACAAATTGACATTTGCACTCTTTAGTGACTTCTATTTACTGAAGGACTTATGGGTAGGTGTAGATTTTGTTTAGAATTTTCACTGAGAGGATCTACAATTTCAGTGATAATAACTACTGTCTTATGTAAGTTTTGTTGTGTTAACAGGTTATGCAGTAACTTGGAGGAGGCTGTTTATATATCAATCAAAATTTAAATGGAGAGAGACAAGAGAAAACAATTAAGAAGTGCAAATGAAAGAGATATCAAAATGAAAGCTTTAACTAAAACTATACTGATTGCTGCATTAAATGCTAGTTTTTTGGTAAGAGATCTTGATGTAAATGTTAATTATTAAGCAAAAGTAAACAAAGATTTGCCGTGTTTCAAATTTGCAATAGTAGATGTACTGCAGCATATGGAATTGTAGTCTTATCTCTCAGGGCAAAATCCTGAGGGAAGGGTAACCCTTCTTCTCAATCCCTGCCCTACTTCAAACATGTCTGAGATAAATCACTGCATCTAATTTTAGTTAAGGTCCACACAAAATAAAGAATGATGTACTGTCAGATGTTTACAATATTTATAAAGCTAATGTTAAAGAACTCAAAATGTCTGTCTGAAGATGAATATATGCCATATTTTCTAATGTTAGTATTTGTAAAATAAGAAAAATTTGGTTACAGGTATGAAAGAAATGTAGTAGTTACATATCCCACACAACAATATTTACATAAGCTCTTGGGCTTATAAGACTAATGTATATGTCTGATTATGACCACAAAGTACTTAGTTATTTTCTAAAGAATCATACAGTGCAAATAAATGCTTTTTTAACATGACGTCTATGCTACATTTCCTTTCATATAAAGTACTTGTGCGTTCACAGGGTAGTAGCATGTCAGAGAACAGCAACTAGTTACACTTTTGTATTTACAATCACCCATGCTTCAAGCACTCATTACTAAATTCAATTATCCATGTAAAAGAATTATTCTCACATTTTACACAAATTTTTATATAATTCATATAACAGATGCTGTCTCTGACCATGAACTGGATAAATATGTACTTATATTTATTTACTCTTAATCAGAAAAATGCATCTGAACTCTGAATGAATACATGATCTGGTAATATTGATTCACAATATGTGCACCCAATACGTGGTCCTAAACCCTTCGAAGATTAACATTCTCTCCCAGATGTGGTCGACTACACAGCCTGAATGATCATACCATGTCTGAGATATACAGGACTTGCTGCCATTTAAATGTAACTGCAAGGACAGGCCATTTATAGTCTTCAAGGGGTTAACAGCACTCTTTTCTGCAACACTAACAATACTAATTAATTACCTGTATACATCATCTTTGGTTTAAATCTTAACCTACAATGAAAAATAAAACAAACACGCATTAAAACTAACAGTAACACTTTGTATCAATAAAGATAAAAGTATTCTTGTCATATTGTGAATCTATATGTCATCAGTGAATTGTTTCTGTACTTATTGTCATGATCTTTGTGTGTCACACACATAGCATAAAGATACATCCATGTAGCAAGTTGCACAGATACAATGACAAGTACAAAGCTTGACAACAGAACAATTTTAAACTCTAATAATACTGCAAAGAAAATAAATACACGAGTTACTTTAGAACAAAAAAAAAAAAATCTGTGGCGTAACAGCTCCAGAGAGCCAAAGCCGACTAGCTTGACTGCTGGCCTCACGTTCACATGCCTAAGCAGAGGTGAATGATCATCCAACCAGATATAGGGTGACGTGTGGTCAGCACGACGAACCCCCAGCCATTGCTAGCTTTCCTGACCGGATTACGCTACTCATTGTAGCTCCCCAATTTCCTCACGATGCTGGGTTGGCACCGGTCCCATACACTGGTCGAAAGCTCATGAGAAAATTTCTTCTCCCCTGAGACTCAAACCAGAGCGCATTCCGTATCGCTGGTCCAAAGCATGATGCCTCAGACCGCACGGCTACGGCGCGGGACTACTTTAGAACAAAGATATAATAAAAATACTATTTTAATATTCTTATTGTCTTTACAAGTTAATACAGAATCATCAACTATCATACATGGCATAAAATGTATTACTTTAATAAACTTGTATGTATTAATATAACACTGAGTGCGTGAAGCAATTACTGTAAAACCATATAAATTAAAATTTCTACATGTATAATGTTACGAATATCTTTACTTTCATACTGCAGCATAATATTTTAGTTCAATAGCTTTATAAAATAATGTATAATACAATTTTTATAAATTCCAAACATGATAAATGAAACCTTTAAGTGATTAAGTACACTTAAACTATATTTTACAAACCAGAAGGCAGTAGCTTCAATGTTACGATGTTGCAGAACAATGAAGCTCATAAATCTAAGTTGGAATAAATTAAAACACTGTTCACGTCAGGAACAACATTATATTACAAATTTTAATTTCAAGATGATGATTTACAGAATTCTGCATTCAAACATAGATTAAGAATACAGGGAAAGACATTTATCTATAAGAAGTTAATTTACCATCCACAGCCATGAATATATATTCTAGTTGACTAATTGAGCAAATGGCTTACTTATGATTGAATACTCAAGAACAAGAGAGATGATTGGGTTTTATGTGGTCTCTCTCATACTAGGGAAGAGTCTTACCTAATTAAAGCATCATCCTTTTATCGACATTTATCAGCTAGAAGAGTACAAATTCTACAGTTAGGAACTTACAAGTTTCTACTGTCAAAATACTGACAGCAACACTAAATCATTCACCATCCTGGTACACCAACTTGAGGTAATTCAGGTTTCTGTGTCAAAAGTCTACGTGTATGTTAAAAAAATATTAAGTGTACTTAAAACTTTAAGGTATCATTACCAACATTAACTTGGATATATATTATATATTTATATCCTTCTTTATTGTCAGAATGCAGTAAGAATGTGGGATATAATATATCTCAAAAGATGTTCTCTTCAGTGATATGGATATATTGTCATAGCACCACCATGGTTCATTCTCTCTTTATTTTGAACTCTTTGACCTTGAACATCTGCAAGTACAACATCTGTATCCTTACTAAGATAAAATTCAGACTGCGACAGAAATTATTCTGAGGTATGTATATGAAATTTGTCAATGTAAAATCATTCATAGCCATCATCTTACAGTGTAATGACTGTATGGCAGACAAAGCATAAAGCCATTCTATCTCTTCAAGGGTGCTATAAACTGTCATCTGTGATTGCTTGATATTATACAACATCCCAAAACAGTTTATGCGCATAATTCGTCAATATAGAATTCAGGATAAGCATACAATATGCATCAAATGATTTTATTTTAGATTTTTCTAAAAATATTATGAAGTCAGGGTCATGAGTAGATAAACAAGACCATGCATCAAGTAGAATTTTAAGCACAAGTATAATTTATAAAATTTCTGAAAAATGCATTTATCATAAAACCTGAAAATTAACTATTAGACATTAAAGTGTTGACTTGCAGATTTCAGCTGCAGTAATGCACCACAAACAGCAATTCTCTGCTTTACTGATACACCATGACAACAGTACCACACTACATATTTCAATAAACAACTGTCTTGGATGTGGGAACAAGTTAAAAATCATGTCAGCATACAAGGATAAGTTAAAATCAAAAAACAAAACTGGAAAGTAAATGGTAAGAATTTGCCTAAAAGAAATGAGGAAAACTATAACAACCTGAGTCAGGATGAGATTTGAACCTGGGACATCCCAAATATGAAGTTGCAATGTTAACAACTCTACTATAACATTTGGTTCCTTTCATAACGCTTAATATTTCCAGCTGCACACTGCCAGAAATTAAACCTTGTTTAGAAGAAGACAGCTGCAAAGCACAATTACTTCATGTTCCACTCAACACATGGTTCTTTACAAGTCTGTGTTACCATGTGTTTTACCTATGGTACACCTATGAAACATTTTTATGTTCCTTAAATGCTTCCCTTAATGTAGAATTTACTGAGTTGTTGTTTTCATAGGCTTACAATAAACTCTGGAACTGTTGTCAAATTCTTACCAAGTAATGTGGCACTGCTGTTTCTTACCTTACACAATTAATGTATCACACAGCAGATATTACTAAAATGACATCAACTGCCAAGCTTTGTACACAATGTTTTATCAGATATATGTAGAAAAGCTAACATCTGTCCTTCAAGATCACAGTTCCTTGTCATCATTTGAATGGAGTGCCATTTGTTGCCTAATCCAGGGCACATATTTTGGAACATATGCATACACACCAGGCAGATGAGGATGTGCACATTTTATTCCCCAACTTACAATTCCACCAACAAACCAACGGTCCCAATGCTTCTCATCACGACAAAGTAGTGGACCTCCAGAATCACCCTACAGTATTAAATAAAATATTAATATTTTGGAAGATTAACATACCCATGTTTTCCATTCTATATTTATTCAACATTGGCCTTTACTTATTTTATAGGAATTAAGGAAACACTTATGTTTCTTCTAACAACTATGTTTGTACTAAAATGAATGTTTCCGTAAAACAGGAATCAGACTTATACATGTGAAAATTACAGCAGAGTATCGGAAACATTAAATTAATTTATAAGAATGAGAATATTAATATTTACTTTTTCATTATAATTCATATACTACTTATTTTTCTGACTAAGGAAATGATAAAACAATACCTGGCAAGCATCTTTGCCTCCCTCAGGATAGCCAGCACATATCATGCCTTCAGTCACATTCAGGTCTCGATGCTGAAGCCACGAATTGCACAATTCACGATTCACTACAGGAACCTGGACTTCATTTACAGCTGGCTCGTACTCAGACACTGTGGGATCACATGTAAAAACCTCTCTATCTATATCACAACCCCATATACGAGATGAAACACAAATGTAAGGGTGAGTTCTAAACACCAAAACTGTCACTGTCATGGCAAGGGCTTAAATTGTAGACAACCCAAACAAACTTAAATTAGGAGAATTTGTGTTAAGAATGAAAATCTTCATCTGTAAGAGTGGAAAGTAGATACAATTGTCTTTCACTGTGAAAAGGACAGTTTCATTAACAGACAATCTCAGCTTAATGTTCAAACTGTCATCTTTGCTTCTTGTGTGCTAGCAATGAAACAAAAGATTTATGTCTATTTTCTTTTAAGAAAAATAATTTTAGGAATATAGTACAAATTACTTCCTGTACTACTTTCAGACACCTAACTGACATGGAGCGTGCCTCTCATTTGTTACTGTAAGCCATTAAGTATGATCTCAAGACCACAGGTTTTATCTTTGGAATAAGTTGAAAGATTCAGCATGTTGACATAATCCACACAGAAAGGTGGGCTGAAGAAATACATTAGGAATTCATTGTAATGTTTTCACCACAAATTCCAGTGTCACATAAAATTCCTATGAGGAGAGAAGAGAACTGTTTCACACACACAGTGATTAGGAAAGCCTGATTTGTCACATCACTGAACCCCAGATGAGATGATAATGATGTTCATTAAAGGTACTCACCATCTTTGTCCTCTCTTTTACCCCATCCAATCACAGTACAGACAGTGCCAGGTGCAAGGTCGCGATTGAATGGTGGCAGGCATACAGGAAGTAGATGTTCGTGAAATGTCACGCGAGACCGCAGCTGTAAAAGGAAAAATTTACAACACTTGACCACTGGCAAAAATATATTTGGTATATGTGGTGAGCACACTAAATGCATCGCTTATCTTACAAACACTACATTTTTATGTTTCTTTATCATTGGTACCATGGAAGGATTGAAATTTTTAAGTTTGTACAAGCTAATTGGAGTGTGTTGAAAATAAGGATAAAGATACTTCCAGGAGTGACTATTAGACTTTCCAGATTGACTCAATGTGGCCCACACTTAATGAAAATATATATTACAGTTTCTTAATCATTTTTATTTCAACAGTTATAAGAAGTAGTCAATACTGAAATAATCAAATTTTTAAAAGAACAAAGGAAATGTATAACTTGCATTCTTTACTATGGAATGCTCACAGTATCTGGTGTCTTTGTATATGACCATTTTCATTATTTTGAACTTTTAAACATCACGTTGAGAATAAAATGCAGAAGACTGTATGTTGAAGCAGTACCTTCAGCTTCAAGAGATGTGTTGGAATAAAAAGAATCTTCTGCTTAAGGAAATTAAATTGTAAAATAGATATACAATCAAAAGTAGAATCTACAATAAACTGAAACATTACTTTTCTATAAACTTTATCCCCTGAATATGTGTGTGTTTCTGCTGTTCTGCGTGTCTGTCAGTTCATATGTTTTTCAACTATCATTACTAACCTAAAACTGTGAACAGAAATTGACAATCAACAACCCACAACATTCTTGGCAGCTAAAGAACATGAAGATGACTGTCTTCTGGGTTGTTGCACTGTGTATTCTGGTAGAAGTTTACTGATGTGTCAAGGCATGACAAAGGCAGCAAGCACCTCTGAAACGTTGGTGAACTTCTAATAGACTACACAGCGCAAAAATCCTGAATAAGTAATTTTCATTCTCACCATCATGAGAACCTCAAATCTCATTTAGATAAAAAAAACAGTCCATGATATACAACAATAGTAACTATA